CAAAATCCAAGAAAAGGGCCTTTGAACGATTAATTAGTAACGCCTAATATAAGATGGAAAATTAATTTTGGCAAATTCTGTTTTTGGAATGAAATTCCTTTCTTTAATTCAAACCATGGGGTGCCAAAGAGAACAGCTGAGCACTGCAATAAGCCTCTTTTGTGATTAGAAGCCTATCGATCTCTTCAGAGCCGCTTAGGGCCTGTACCTGATCACTACAAAGGGGAACGAGAAATCCCCTAGGGTGTGTGGGGTTCTGTTGAAGTATATCGCTACTTCCCAAGTTGTTTTGTTTGTGAGCATAGCAGATTTGTGACTTCGAAACCTAACTTTAAAGTGAGGAGTAGTAGATCCCACGTATTGCAGGCGACTTTTCTTGCAAGAAGCCAAGTAAATCACATTCTTAGAATCAAGGGAAAGTCTAGAATGAATGGTGTAATTTTTGCCTGTCTGAAAGCTGAGAAATGATTTAGATTCAACAAAGAAATTTTGACAGGGGTCGCATCTCAGTTTCCTATCGCATTTAAAACAGCCATTATTAGGAGGAATCGTTTGTCTCTCGCTGGTAGTTTTAAAACGAGATGGTACTAATAATCTTTGAGATTTTTCGACGGACGAAAAGATGGCATAATAGAATTTAGAGGAAAAAGTTCCTTTAATTTAGGGTTGGATTGCAGAATGAACAAATGCTTTCTGATTATGTTGCCTACGTCGGGCAAGTTTGGATTAAACGTAATAACAAATTGTCATCTTTTTATTAGCACCAGTTCATTAGTCGTCACCTGTAATTACGTAATCACTAGCACTTTGATCTTAAAGCTCTTTTTTATCTCAAAAGTTGTAAATAACTGAAAAAGGTCTCTGACCGAAACATTTTTATTAAAATTTTTTATCTTTTGTTGGTCAAAAGTTGTCCATCCTCGCATTTTTTAAACTTTCTATATAGATATACACATACATATATATCTATATATTTATATATGTATATATGTGTAAATGTGTGTACAAGTTGTCCGTCCTCGTGTGCCACACTACTTCTCCTACCATTTATCGAGGTTTGGACTGTGAATCCTTTTGGATCCTTCTGGCGCGGCGACACTGTTGGCTCGAGGCCTTTTAACTTATTATATATATATATATATATATATATATATATATATATATTT